AGAGAGAGAGAGAGAGAGAGAGAGAGAGAGAGAGAGAGAAACAGAGAGGTAGAGAGAAGGGGGAAGGAAAGAGAAAGACAGAAAAAGATAGAGAGGTGTGAAAGAGGGAGGGGGAAAGAGAAGGAGAAGGAAAGAAAAAGAAAGAAAAACAGAGATGGGGAGGGAAAGAGAGAGGGAGAGGAAGAGACAGGGGGAAGAAAGAGAGAGGGAGGGAAAGAGAGAAATTATATTAGAAATGTTTTTTCTTTTTTATTGTTGCTAAATGTAATATTTCAAAGGAGCATAAAAGTGCATTTATCACATCTTTCTTAAAACAATTAGCTGAACTCTGCCTTGTTTATCATTATTTTAGGTAGTAAAACAATATTCAGGTTAAATTGCCATTGGCAGTTTGCGATAAATAAGTGGGTTTTGGGTTGCAGTTTGGGCACTCAGTTTCTAAAAGGTTCGCCATTAGTAAACTATACTGTCCTTTCCCACTCAATTCCTTATCCTTTCTGCATATCTACCTAGGTTTATTTGCAACTTCAAACCTCACTGCAAGCTGAATAATGACCAATTCAATCGCATGATAAAAGCTAATCTCTTGTATTTAGTCATGGCAAATATGTAAATACCATAATATTAATTTATGTTTTTTCTAAACTATATTTTATTTAACGTTTGTATTACTTACTCTATAAGGATAATCTATTTTGATTGCTTTTTCTGCCATTGCCCAGTTTGCATCAGCCAAAAATCGATCAAGTTTTAGCATTGCAAAAGTGTTGGCCTCCATTTTTCTAATACGTTGAATAGCATTAAACATTGCCATACGCTTTGGAAGAGTAATATTACAAAGCCCTATAATAAGAGGAAAATAATTAGTTATTCTGAAATGTGTATGAAATATGTAAGCATTTATTATAGTCTATAAATTATAATCTATAAATAATCATGTGACTCCCACCACCAGGAAATTATTGAAGACCGGGTTGTTCTCTTAGGTCTGAAGGACAGGATGATTGCAGAGCCAAGGTTTTGTTTTGGTTTCAATCCGTTTTGATTTATTTTTGTATTTTGCTCTTCTAGGTTAATTGAATTTTTAATCTGTTGGATTTTTTAAAATTGTAAATTGTTTGGGGGTTGATATTAATGCCATACACCATGAAAATAATGTTTTGGATTTGATAGAAGATAAAAATTTAATGTGATTAAAATAGATATAATATAGATTTATAGCATACTTATGTGTGCATTCATATGTGTTTGTGTATGCAGCTCCTGTTAAATTTGATTTGAAATTCCTTGTAAATATGAAGTTAAATTCTTATCCAGATAATATTACGCCTTTAAAAACTTCATTACAGGGTTCCATTTCAAGTAACTGGAAAGTAGATGTATTTTATATATTATTTTCTTATTTAACTAAAATTTTGCTAGATTGACAAATTAATCAACTTAAATTTTCTGCAAATTTGCATTTGATATATAATGTGCCATTGTTTAATACATTAATAGCATAATCCCAGACATACTAACTAAGACATGTCCAACTGCATTCAGTAGGAAATATTTCCAGGAAAATGTACAGTCTACTTGTTAGAAACTAAATAGAAAAACAAATATTTTTAAAAATGATATGTTTAATGTGTCACCTAAGGTTATAACCAGCGTCCTCACAGTGGTTGAATTAATAATCAAGGTTAACAGTGATGCTGTTCCAGAATGCATTAATATCTGAAACACAAAAAATTGTTATAATTAGTAACCTCATAAAATGTCCATACATTTATGATACCATATTTTAAGGGAGCAGGCCAATGTAGAAAGAATAATACAGATACATATAGTACAATTTCACCTAATAAGCTGACAAAACAAAATCAAACATAACCAATTATGATAGTATAGTCCTGGATTCTGAATTTTGTTTTGTCCCCATAAAAAAGGAGCTGAAAAAGAAAAGGAGTTAATTTAGATTCTCCATCCACACCTTCACTGCCATTAATTGTTCACATCAATATTTTAACAAAAAACTTACAAAAAACACTAATTTACTGTAAAAATTGAATTTTAAGAAGTAAAAAGGAGTTGAGACTAGGATGTATTTGTCTCCAGATCTATTATTCTTGAAATTATAATGAGGGAATTAGAAAATAATTGCAATAAAAGCTGTAGGTTTAAGCACTAGGGAGCATTAAGTTTCTGGGGAGAAACACAATGACATAAAAATTAAACAAGATAATAAAGGATACATATTGATATTACAACAAAAATTGGAATAGCTAAAACAGAGCCTTTGTAGTGATAATATGTAAATGTAAAAGTTGGATACTGAAACAGAACAAAATATACCTTCAAATTATTTGTTTAGACATGGTAACCAAGAGTAGTATGAACTCCAAAACAATCAATTCATCACTTCTATAGCACAAAAGACTGATTACTATCTTGAGGCAATGTTCTTGAAGCAGAACCTCATTAGTTAAAATACTGTTTTCCCTGATCTTCTAGAATTTTATTTTATTATGTTTTGGATAAATTAGCTAGCACCTTTAAGAAAATGTTTGTTTGTCTATAATATTTCTTAACCTCACAGCTCCCTCAGAGATCATGCTTTCCCATTATTCCATCTCTATATTATAACTAAAATTGTTAGCCCTCCTTATGGAGCTTGTTTCAAATTTTAACAAAAGTTTATGTATTTTAGCAATTATATGTTCATTTGAACATGTGATTCTATTTCACTTAGACTTAGTCTTACAATGTTCAAAACCACACATTTTGTTTACTTTACATTTTTCTAAAAATTGTAAATACGACAACCATTGACATATCCCTCTGCCATTCGTTCTTCTCTTGATTTTATTTTCCATTTCTCTTGACAAAATTCTAGTATATTATGGGAAGCCCCTCCCTCCTAGATAATGAAATATTTTGGAGAATATTAAAAGAGGCAGAATATAAGGGGACTTCCGGGGCTGACTTCGCTACAACACAACATGCAATCTTGGAGCTCCAGGATTGCTGTTGAAATCCCTGTTGCTGGACGGTCCTTTTTGGACCTAAACCGTCCCGTAGAGATGGTGATAGAGAAGAGTACGTCCTGCTGATCTCAGAGGCATCGCAAAGCCCCTGATCGATCCAGGACAAGCTTTTTTTCCGGCTACAAGAGAAGCAGCTAATGAAGCTGCACAATGTTGGGACAGCCCCCTGCAATGGAAACAGTGCAGGAGAGAGAGAGTGTGTCGAAATTGGTGAGATAAATTTTATTATTAGAGAAGAGAACACCCAAAAAGAAGTAGAGTAAAACTAAAATTGAAGATAGGAGAGCAAGCGGCGGATTAGCTTGAATTAAAACTATTGTGTTATATCTTTTTTTCTTTAATTTCGTTTCTTTTCTATGGATGGAATTTTTACAAATACCTCTTACTTTCAATTGGACTGGTCCTTTTTCTCCTCCTTCTTCTATTTTTTTCCATTATTTGTATTTGTGGACTAAGAATCTCTTTCCTCTAAATGCTCGGCCGGATCGGAACTTTTAAACACTTTTTTTCCTATCCCTAAACTTGAAGCTTAAAGAGGGAGCTAAAAGTAGAGAAAAAAGAAGTAACACTGCCATCTAGAGGGTGGAGGCTTGGTTACATCCATTATCTCAAGGCCATTGGCTTTGTTTATTGAAAGGGACAGAGAGAAAACACATCTTGTTTATACAGGTGTTCTTTTGGAGTAACACTGAATTTATTTGAAACCTATCAAAAGTCTTGGAGGTCCTAGTGGCAGTGTTTACAACTTGGAAAGATAGTGCAACATGAAGAAGAGGAATTAACATTGCAAAGAATTATGTTAGAAATTCAAAAAATCCTAATAAGTACAGAAAGAATAGAAAAAATCTGGAGTTTATAGAACAAAGAACAGAAGGAATGGAGGGAAGAGCTGAGAATATTGTTGAAACAAGTTGAAGATAGAGTTAAAA